TCGCTGCGGGACACGTCAGCGGCCGGCAGGGGGTGGGGAAGCCCGAGGGGACATCGCCAGTGGGCACGGCAGCGGCGGCAGCGGCAGCGGCGGCAGCACTAGCAGCAAGGCACCGTCGCCCGCTGCAGCACCGCGGTGTGCTCTGCCGTACGCGGCGGGCTGTCCGATTGATGAGCACGCGCCGACCCCACGCCACGGCTGTGCCACACCCGCTGGCAGCTCAGCCGCTGCCCCACGACTCGCCACCCCACCTTTGCGCGCTCGAGCGGCGCAACCATGGTCTTCGCGATGGCGCCTGAGCCGCCCGCACACACCAGCTGCACGCCGAACTGGCGGGCGTTGTCGAAGAGCGCTGCGGCCCAGGCATCTTGCTGGTTCCACACCGGCGGTGCAGCGCCAGCAGCGGCGGCGGCAAAGATGGCCGCATCGTCGTTGTGCTGTTGCTGCTTGTCATGTGAAGCCACCATGCCTTCTACTCGCCACTAAACGCATCCGCGAGCAATTGGTTGCGTGGTTGCGCAGACCTCAGATCGCCTGAAAAAGCACTCAGGCAAGTCGAGTGAGAGCAGTCGCAACAAAATCTTAGCACAGACTTGAAGATATGCGCTTGACCAAAGTGTATGTCGCTTGCAACTTTGTGCAGTGATACCGTGCACCCGAAGACACACATTTGCGCTTCCTGCCTGCTTTGCAGCCGCTATAATCGAATTCATTGCGTCAGTCATCTTGTTCGCTGTGTCGCTGATCAAACGTGTGCTTGCGGCCACCGCCTGCCCGCGCAGATCAGGATCGACGTCGGGAATGGAACGCTGCTAGGAGAACAGGTGTCTAACAGACATTACCAAGCGGTGGATCGGCATGGAGCGGGTGCGTCCGCTGTCTCTGGCTCTCCTGCCAGGGCCGAGGAGCGAAGGGGCCGGGCGCTGCAGCAGGCCGGCCTGCGTCAGCTTGCCGCCCGCCATGCGCCCGCCGCCGCGGCAGGGACTCCACCCCGCACCCCGCGCCACCGGCACCCTCCCCAACCGCGCCCTCCGTGAGCCCCCCGCGGCCGCGGCCACCCACTCAAGCGGCCGCACCCCCGCGGTCGCGCCCCGGCCTTCACGCGCCCACGGCCGCCGCCGCGCCGCCGCCGCCGGCCGCAGTACGAGAAGCTGGAGCGCGTGGGGGAGGGCACGTATGGCGTGGTGTACAAGGCCCTGGATCGCGTGACTGGGGCCATCGTGGCCCTGAAGAAGATCAGGCTCGAGCAGGTGCGCCTGCAGGCAGGGCGCGGCGCGGCAGCGCTGAATTGTGGATAGAGCCTGGAGCCTTGGTACGGGCTGGGCGCCTGACCGATTTGTCGAGTGTGGTCTCTCCTGGTCAGCAACATGACGGCTGTCAGGGGGCGAGGGGGAGGGGGCACGGGCAGCTGCCCTCGGCAACCGCCCGCACGGGTCTGGCGCCCGCCCCCGCTCGCATGGTGCGCCGAAAGCGGCAGCTGCCAGGGCACGCGTGCTTGGGCGCGAGGCGCGCCGAGCCTACGCGCAACTTGTGCCGCCTTTGCCATGGGCTGGGGCGCAGCGCCCGCGCCCCGACACCAACTGTGACGTGCGCCCCGGCATGGCAGGCAACCGAAACCAACCAACTACCAACCGACCGACCAACCGACCGGCCGGCTGCCCCCCTCCCGCTGCCCCCAGGAGGAGGAGGGCGTCCCCAGCACCGCGATCCGCGAAATTTCGCTGTTGAAGGAGCTGAACCACCCAAACGTTGTGAGGTGCGGCCTCCCCGACCCCGACATTGTGTGTGCAGTGCTTTTGCAGTTGTGCGTCAGGCGGCGCGCATCGTTGGACGCCCCCCTGAGCAGAGAAGGCACCGCTGCCGGGTCCTGGCCCCACCGATTGCCCCAGTCAGCTTGAGGCAGCGGCGCTAGGAGTGGGCAAGAAGGGGGGGCGCAGGCAAGTAGGAGCCCCAAATTCGCACGGGGCTGGGCCGGCAGGGGTGGGTGCCTCAAGTACGCACGCGGCTGGCCCACTTGAACCTTGACAAGGTCGAGGGCCCAACCAGCGTTTCGCAGCGCACAGCTGTGTCGCAAAGTGTCCGGCGGCGCACGGCAGAAAAGGGCGGGAGGCGACGTCCTCCTCCGCGGCGCGCACATCGCACTGCTGCCCTCCCTGTAGACCTAGCCAGCCCGGAAGCTTGCTGGTGCAGCCAACTCCGCCCCAACCGCACGTGCAGCCTCCACGCATGCATGGTCCCTCAAATCCCCCTCTTTTGCAGGCTGCATGTTGTCATCCATGTTGAGCCTGCCCCAATCACTCTGGCTCCCTCCTCCATGCCTGTGACCCCAACCCCTCCCCCAAATCCAGGCTGCATGACGTCATCAATGCTGGGCCCGCCCGATTAAAACATGCAACATCCACAACGCCTGTGCCCCCCACCCCCCACCCCCTAATCCAGGCTGCATGACGTCATCCATGCTGACCGCCGGCTGTACCTGGTGTTTGAGTACCTGGACCTGGACCTCAAGAAGCTCATGGACGGCATGCCGGGGTTCAGTGCGGACACGCGGCTCATCAAGGCGCGCGCGGCGCGCGGGGGCCCGGCCCGGGGAGGCCCGGGGCGCATTTGGGGACTGGGGTTTGACTGCTCGTTGACCGCTCTTTGACCGCTCTTTGACCGCTCTGTGCCGACACTTCGGCTGCTCTCCGGCCGCTCTGTGAAAGTGGCGGTGGTATGGGTGAGAGGAGTGTGTCGCGCCGAACCAGGCAGCAGCCGAGCCCTCCACAGCCGCTCCCTCCCTGCTCAACCC